GGTCTGGGGGCCTGGTCGGTGCTCCAGAGGCCCGCGGGGGCCTGCGGCTCAGCCCCGCTCCTGGGCGCCGGGATTTTTTTGGCCCGAAATCGTCGGTTTTTGCCACCAGAATATTGGTGGTTCCTGTCTCCGGGCGGGCCCCGCGCGTTGTTTACTGTTTGTGCTCCGGAGGTTTCTGTGTGCCCCGTCAGCGCGCGAGCAAGTTTGCTGTCTTATCGGTTTCATGCGGGCGCTTTTTCGCTGCCTTACAGGATGAGGTTGTGTTTGCCCACGCAAAGTCGCGCCACAGGAAAAGTAAGAAATGAGAGCGCTCCCTGCGAACGGCGGCTTTAAAAACTAACCAAAATGAGCTTCTTGAGTCTCAGCTCATTCGGCGCACGGCCCTGCGGGCCGCAAAAGTCTTCTTGAGGCCTCCCAGAACGCAGTTGACTCCACGGTGCGCTTGTGCCGTCCGCGCTACCAGACACGTCGATTATGATGTTTTCACACCCAGATGTCAGAAAAAGGGGCTGGTTGTCCCCTACCGAAAGGTGTTTTGGCCGCGTTTGGGCTCTGGGTTTATCAACTCTACTGCTGACTGGCGCGTCGCCCGCTCACCGCGCTGGGCGGGGACCGACTGTGGACTGAGCCTATGTCTCACGGCAAACCCCAAAAGCGCCATCGGGTGCGGGTCCATGTTTCCCGCATGGGTGCAGCAACTGTGGGGAAGCTGGCTTCCTGCAGCCGACGGGGTGCTCTGCGCGAAGCTGTGCTCCCTTAGCCCCAAACCTGGGGTGGGGTCACGAGAAAGCAGGTGTGCCCGGGGATCCTATATCCCGTCCCCCATGTCGTTGGTGCTGTGATGCTCGATTTTTTTCTGAGACCGCCTTTTACGTGCTCTGGGGAGCTGTGCCCTTGTTCGCAAAATCCCGTGTGCTTTGTGGTGGTGCTCCCGGTGCGTTCCTGCGCGCCACTGCTCCTGGAATTGACCCAGCAATAATGTGCGGGCGTAGGTAGGGCTGTTTTCTGGGGGTTGCTCGCACCCCCTTGAGTGTGGTGGCTACGGAAGCGCTGAGGTTTTGGGTGTTGTCTTAACCTTGCGCATGGAACAGTGCAAACTTCAGGGGATCATCTCCCCAAGTACAGCGTGCCTGGCTGCTTCCCTGCCTTTTCTGACCCTGCAGCTAGCCCTGACGGTCCGTTTCTTTCCAGTACCTGCTTCTTGACTTAACATGTTGGTCTCCTGGGATACAGAGCCGGTAGTGCCCCTTGAGTGTGTCCCAAATATACTTGTCTGGAGCAGAGGTTGGACAGTAGGTGGTCACTTGACTTGCTGCTTGCCAAAGAAGTGAAGAACTTGTGTGGCTCTTTATGGTCCTACCACCTAGTGGTGGCCTGCTTTCCCCTTGGTGTGGGGCCCATAGGTGAGTTGGGCTTGTGCCCACTACCTGCTACCCCTGGGGCATTGGATACCCCTGGTTGTAGTTTGGGGGAGCCCAGAGTTGGGTCTTTGGGAACATTCCTTGAATGCTGTGTGAGTCACTTTGAATTGGAACTGGTGCCCCCCAGCACATGGGGCTGGCTCTCTAGCTTTTGGAACAAAAGTGCCACCTTTGGAGACCTCTATGTCTATGTGGTGGTGTGAGGGCAACACAAGAGATGGGTGCTCTATTGTAGGCCCTGTGGGGGCATGAAGCACTAGCAGGCCCTTGGGGGAGTGTCTTGTCACTGAGCTGTGCTCTGGCTACCCCCTGGACCTATGGTGGTACAGTATGGTGCTTGGCAGAGGTGGTTAAACCACAGGCCTGTGGTGGGGAGCCTGTGGTGTTGTCCTCTGGTCATCAAGGTGATGTGGGCTGAATTTAGTTGCTGGCAGTGTTGTCCCCATGATTGGGATTGTAGCTGGTGCTTTTGCAACTCTCTGGGGCTGGTTCTGGAGTGCTGCCCCCTGGGCTGGAACCTACAAATGGGTGGAGCTTTGTGGGATAAAGCAGGTCAGTCCCTCTGACTTATCCCTGGTGGGTACCTGGCTCATGTTGGCTGAGTGGGCCTTGCCACATTATGGAGGTGTGTAGCACTTGAGTGTTGGAAGGGCAGTGGTGGTGCTAGAGTTGGCCAAGGAAGTTTTGTCTGGGTGCAGCTGCCTCACCTTGCTGCAGGGGTCATTGGTTACTCCCCTCCTTAAGCAGTTGGGTCCCAGGTTGGGGTCTCCCACATAGCAGCCTGGGGGAGTACTGGTCAATGGTTGGCAGGGATGGGGCCCCTATAGCTTGGTCTCAACCCTGGGTGCTGTGGTTTTCTGGCCTGAAATGGGTCCTGTTTTTGTCATGGTTGTGGGTGCTGCTTCCTTAGTGGAGGTGTGGAGTACTCTGTAACCTTGTCTGCCCTCAGATGCTTCTGTGTGAGGGGCCTCTGCTCTCCAGGCTATGGAGCCCAGTTTCTGGAGCTGTGCGCCTTGGGCTGCTTGAGGCGGTGGTTGGGCTTCAGCTCAGCTATAATGTTGGGAGGGGGTGCCTGGTTGAAGCCCTCAGATGCTTCTGTGTGAGGGGCCTCTGCTCTCCAGGCTATGGAGCCCAGTTTCTGGAGCTGTGTGCCTTGGGCTGCTTGAGGCGGTGGTTGGGCTTCAGCTCAGCTATAATGTTGGGAGGGGGTGCCTGGTTGAAGGGGGCTCTCATAGTGCTGTGTCCTGTGTCTGGGGAAGTGTGTTCTTTCACCCTATGTGCCTTCTTGCCTCATTCATGAATGGTTTGTTCACCCCCTTGGGAGGCTCTCAAGCCAGGGGTTGTAACTCTGCTCAGTGCAAAAGACTTGAAGCTTGTTTTAGGGGTCAGATGCAGCTCCTGACAGAGCCCACCCCCGGTGCGGTGGTTGCTCGCTGTAAGTGCATCACCACAGCTCCATGGACCCCCTGGTGTAAGGGTGGCTTCCTCCTGCTGTAAGTCTTGGGGGTGTTGCAACCTCTGGGCTTTGGTACTGGGGTGTCGTGTGCACGGCCCTGCTATGGAGTGCAGGTTGCTCGGTCTGGGCTCCAGAATGGGTCGTGGGTCCCTCCTCTTCCTTCCCCCGCTGGAACCCAGCTGGGGGGGGGAGGAAGGGCCTCTTGCTGCTACGCCCTGCTGAGGTCGACCAGTTGGCCGGCCCAGCCCTACAGCCGGGTCGACCAGAGGGCCTGTTTTCGCCTGCCACCAGATGGCGCTGTGAAATGGCTGTGGACGGGGTCTGGGACGGGACAGGACTGGATACGGGAAGGAACGGGATACAGTATGGGATGGAGAGAGGGCGTGGGTCGGAGGGTGATGGAAACACAGCGCCCCCATTCAGATTTGTGTCCTTTCCCTGTAGATGCCTCTTCTTATTGGGGTGCACTCCCCAGAAGCGCCACGGGGAGAGAACCCCCCCATTTCAGACTTGCATGTTCATTTATCTGGCAAACCAGGAAAAGGCCTTGGAATCCTGGTCAAGCGACATGAAGGGACTCCGTTTCACCATTTATTTGGGGTTTTCTGGTGTGATCAGAAAAATACTCATTCTCGCAGGTTTTCCCATAACCTTCGTGGGGTCCCAGGACAGGGGTGGGCCAAAATAAGGGGCACACAGTGTAATAAGCTGAATTTGGAATTCTAGAAACAGAAAATCGGTCTAAAATGTCCACGAGACACACACACACACTGGTCGTGATGCAGGCAGGCCGCAGCCATGACTTCTGGAAAGCAGCTGAGAGGCCACAGTCCCTTCACAGAGCTGGGAATCAAGAAAATGACTTTTAGACTAGTCATTGCAAATTAGAAAGAGGACAGTGTGACATAAAAAACACTGGGCATCCAACTTCGACTACTGGATAATTTGTAGTAAGAGAACACAAAGGATTCAACCTAAATATTGACACGAGGAGTAGAAATTTTTTTCAAACCCAAGACCTAATAATGGGAAACAAATCCCAAAGTTGGAGGGAAATGGATATAAATCAATCCTGATGCTGTTTCTTTGGAAAAAGCAAGAATAAACAGGTCAAAAACGCTTACAAATGAACCAAAAGGGAAAGGGTAATGGTAAAATTAAGGCAATAATGGGAACAGCTGAGTGGGAGGATTTTCTAGCAACAAAATCCATCATCAGGATGAATAAAAAACTGCAATGGATACATGGGAGCCAACAGTTAGCCCTCCCTCTCTCCAGGATATGATCCCTCAACAGTGGCCTCTTTGCAATGTCAAGGTACAGATGCTTTACAAGCAGATAAAAGGGTGAGTTAGTCCTCAGCAGTGACACCAAACTTAACAGACATGAGACTCCTCCAGAAACTATCAAGACAGGGGCTCAGTATCTGGAGATGTATCCAACACTCCAAAAACACAGGTCAGGAAGCTACTAGCACTGTCCACCCACTGAGCTACCTCGGTCCACCTTCTGCGAGGTCAGGCTGCACCTTCAGTGGGGGGCACCCGCGAATCCCTGGCCCCCTCCCAGTGGGATCAGAAACGTTTGCATCGACGATGACTTCATTCAGGGCCACAGGTGCAAGGCCTCACCAAAAGGTTAAATGCAACAAATATCCCGATGGATGTTGGGAGGGCACTCGGTCAGCCTCAGTGGCCTCTCCTGCTGCTAGCCCAGTCACTTCCTGGCAGACATGCAGAACCCTCGGCGGCAGCAGCACGGTGGTCAGAGGAAAAGCATGGGCGGGCCTCCCCGGTGGTGCAGCGGTTGAGCACTGGGTTGCGAAGCTGCCCGCAGCCTCTGCAGCGCCAGTTTGATCCCCGGCTGCCGGGTGAGGGTCCCACATGGCCGCAGACCTCTCCTGCCGCCCACTGCTCCCCTCAGCAGTGTACTTCGGTCCTTCTGCCTGTTCTGCTCCCCGCTCTGGCTCTGGTGAATTCTCTCACCCTCCCGCGCTTCTGACTGTACCCAGTGCTTGTATAAATAAACAAACAAATAAATAAATAAATCTTTAAAAAAAAAAAAAAAAAAAAAAAGAAAAGCATGGGCATCCTGGTCAACACCAGGAACAGGAAGATGACCACCAGGATGATGGTGGTCTGCTGGTACACTCTGGGCCACTCCAGGAAACCTTGAGACAAAAGGGGGTGTGACAATGGCTGGGGGGGCACTTGCAGGAGGAGGGCTTTAGGCCCCGGGGATAGCTCGGCCTGGCACATGCTGAGCTGTTGTGATTTCAGCTGTAAGAGGACGCGACTGGGTGACAGGTAAAGTGACATCAGGCTCCGAGATTCTCTTTCCAGCTGCCTGAACCCGCGAAGAACCCACCCCCCCCCCGACAGCCACAAATCCCCCCCCATTTCTTGGAAGGGGGCTACCCACAGGGGGTGGCTGTACCATGGGCAGGTGGATGGAGCTGGTGACCAAACCTCACTGGGGGCCAGCACTGACTCTGCCGCACCCTCCTGTGCGGGGTGGGGTGTGCTGGGGCTGCTCATCCCTCAGAGCTCAGAGGTAATGGCTCTGGCCCTCTCCCTCCACCTCGTCCAGCCCTCGCTCCTCTCTCCTTGCTCCTTGCAGAGCCACCTCGGTCCCCATCTCCCCTGTGTCCTTCCCCCCACGTGCACAGGAAGCATTGGGGCCATGCAAGCAGCAGCCAGGACAACCCTCCTCACCTGGACCCCTGCGGCCCTCCTGCAGCAAAGGCCATCGTTTCAGCGCAAAGGAGACCCACACCCATCAGCCCCCCCACCCCCTCCTTCCTCCAGCCCATGGCACCCACACTTCCGCTTGCACTCCCCCACCCCGCCCCCCACCTGCTCTGGCCTCTCCGGGAGGCCCCAGAACAAGCCTATGGCCCGGAGCTGCCCCCCGGAGTCATCTCCTTCCGCACCCCCGGGGCCGGCCTTTCCTGCCCCCAAGTCTCTTTCTGACTTGAACCATCAGAGTCGGGTCGAGCAAGAGGCGGGGACACCTGCACTCGGTGAGCAGCCGCGGCCTCCAGGGCAGGGGGTGGACACGCGCCTGAGGGCAGCCCGTCCCCGCCTCACGCCCAGGGCTTGTGGCCCCAAGACAGTCTTGAGGATGTGCTTGGCGGCGCCTCACCGCAGTGAGCAAGGGTGCCCGGGTGAGTGGGTGAGCGGGCAGTGGGCGGGCTGAGAGCCCTTGAGTGGTGAAGGACAAACTGGATCCACACTTGGGGGGGGCACGCGGGAGCACGAGGTTGGGGCAAGGGGGCCGGGGGAGTGGACGGCCGGGTGGCGGTGATGGGCGAGGGACGGCCGGGTGCAGAGATGAGGGGCTACGGGGCGGGGGGCCGCTACTATGCCGTGGCCTCCTGGGCCAGCCCTGGGCAGACGGGGTGGGGTTCCCAGGGCGGGCGTCCGCGGAGAGGGGGGAGTCCCCTTACCTGGGAGTCCTCGGGACCGGGCCTGGCGCCTTCCTCCACGGAGCTCCGGGCCTGGGGGAACGCGGCGTCCAGAGCAGGCAGGTCTGGGGGCACAGAGAGAGGCCGTGAGTGACCAGGCGGCTGGCGGTGCTCGGCCCCGCCCTCCCTGATGCCCCCCTGCAAGTTTCAGGCTGGGAGGAGCGCGGGGGGCCTGGGTGTCCTCATGACTGCCCCTCACCTCCGGGACAGCCCCTCCCGGCGGCAGAAGGAGGCCTCCCGGCTCCCGGAGACGCCCCACAGCCAGAGCCTGTGACCCGGCAGGCCTGCGCAGGACGGGGTCGGGCCACCGGGACACCCCACACTCACGCCCCGCCTGATGGACCCCGCCGCCCCCACGGCTGATGGGCCCGGCGCGGCGCAAATGGCACTGGCCTCGTGGGGGGGCGGCGCCCCGCGAGCGTCTTGGCCAGCAGGTCCGTTAGGAGTTGGGTGGGGGGGGCCCTGCCTCTCGGGTCCACTTACCTGCCTCCTTCCGGAGCCGCCGAGCCGCGGCCAGTGAGGACGCCCGCGCTCCACCGCCCGCGTCCCACAGAGACAAGGACATCCCGCCTGCAAAAACAAACCCAAAAATCTCCCTAGAAGTCGCCCCAGTTCCGGGGTTCCCAGAGCGCAAATCACGACCTCGGGCGCCGCAGACCCCGTCCCTCCGCGCCCCACTCCCCGCCATTTCCCGGGGACCCCGCGGCGTCGGTGGCGGCCTGCACCTCGCTGCCAGCGGACACCCCACGGCCGGGCTCCCGCCCCGCCTCAGGGTTCGAGCGCACCTCGGCCCCGCCGGCCCGCCGCCCCGCCGGCCCTGCCCGCGAGGCAGCAGCGTCCGCGCAGCCCCGTGGGCCCAGTCAGGCCCGGCTGCGTTGAGGACGCGGGGCAGGGGCGCGCGGGCTTGGCGAGGGGGGCCGCTCCTGGCTGGAGCAGCCGGTGAGGTCGGCTCGGACCTGCCAGGGGTGCCGGGAACCCCGCCGTGCGCCCCGCGGCACGAGGGCCCGGGACCCATCCCACCATGGCCGGCAGACGCAGGAGCAGGGCGCTGCTTGAAGCCACTGGGTTTGGGGAGACTCCCTCCACAGCGAGGCCACCCGACACGGCCCCCACAATGTTCGCGCACTGGACCGTGGGGGGACGCCGCCATCTTCACTCCCCGCGGCCTCCTCACCTTTCTCAGCGCCTTCGTCGCCAGGACCGCTCCACGGCCCCCCAGTCCCGGGCGGGGCGTCCGATGGGCTGTGGCGTCTGGGCGCGCTCCGGCTCCAGCAGCGGGCGCGTCGGGCGCGTCGGGCGGGCCCGAGGCTCTGCAAGGCGGGCGGGCGCCCGGGCCGCCTCCCTGGCCCCAGGGCCGGTTCAGAACCTGAGGACGGAGCAACATTTACTCATTCGGCAAAGGCTCGCCGCGCCCCCGCGGCCGGCACCTCCCGATGCCAGAGACGCGGCCCCCTGCTCTTCTGGGGTCCCCTCCAGGGGCGGCCACAGACACCTAGGGGTGTCACGCGCTTGAGGCTCATCAGGCAGAGAGGGGAGGGAGGGGGCTCTGGGGTATTGCGGGCGGAGCACGAGCAGGGGCCACACGGGGGCTGTGCCCATCGAGGGACGCGGGTCACGTTGGCGGAGGGGGACACGGCCTCGTGGATCCGCGAGAAACAGCCGCTTTTGCTTGAAACGGCTTTTCTGGGCACATCGGTTGCGTCGACGAAATGGCCGAGAGCAGCTTGGAACAGTCTGCAGGGACCCCCCACCCGCACCCCCCAGCAGACAGCTTGTTCTCAGGCTGGGGGAAGCAGGGGTGATGCGGGGTGACAGAGAGGTATATGTGGGGTGGCAGGGAGATGTAATTGTCAGGCCCTGGCCTTTATGTTATGAGGTGGAGTAACAAGAAGGATATTACAGAAATGCATACAAATAGAGAATGGCTGTGTTATACACGAATTGGAATTATAAACACTTGAAAAAGTGAGCTGTGGGTGACATTTTTTTAAATGACAAGAAGCCATGCTTTTAAATATAATCTGCTGTGTACATCGTAAGCGATTTGCTGTTTTCAGTATCACTTTAGATAAGCCAGACACTTTTTATGCCCCTGGCATAAAACCCACCCGCTCTCGGGTTGTTGAATGAATGAGCAAGTTTGTTCTTCTCAAAGATCTGGTCACAACTGTCCCCATCGCTCAAGACACTTTCATAAAGAGCCCACTATGTGCTGGATATTGCAGGAGGCAGCCAGGATGGCTGAGCCTTCTCCAAGAGGATGATTTTCACATCCCACAGGGGAAGGACACTCTGAGGCTATGATTTGAGCTGCTGTGATCTGGCTCTTCCCTGGTTTTCTATGTTCTCATGGAGCTGTGGCCACTGGGCTTTGACATTCCGGCTCCTCAAGAGAAGCTTTTAGAATTTACACCCCATGGCAGGAAAGACCCTGTGTATCCAACTCGACCACGGGCTAGAACACATCTCAGCACATACCAGACATTTATGAATCCATTGTTGTTTTGAAGGGTTGAGTGGATGAAAGTGGTGTTTAATACAATCAACTATTCCATTGTCTTTTTTCTTAAAGATTTATTTATTTATACATACAAGAGCTGCGGTACAGGCCAGAGATGCGGGGGGTGAGAGGACCCACCAGAGACAGAGTAAGGAACAGAACAGGCAGGTTGACTGAAATGCACCACTGAAGGGAGCAGCAGGCAAGTCAGGAGAGGTCTGCAGCGCCTGTGGGTAGCTCCCTGGCCGGCCAGGGGATCGAACTTGGGCTGCGGAGGCTGCAGATTGCTTCATAGTGTGGTGCTTAACCTCTTGCACCACAGAGAGGCCCATCCATTGTCTTAATATTGACAGTCACATGGACATATCAGAAGCAGCACAAGTGACTGGACCATGCAGGATGCAGCCCCGACACGGAGTCTGCTGAGCAGGGCTCTGCCATGAGCCGCTCCCTGGGCCACAGCCTGCGGCCCCCAGCTCTGCTTCCCCTCCCCCCAGCTGTGGCCCAAAGGGCAGGGTTCTGTGACACAACCCGGGAATCCTGTCATTGAGGAGCATCCCACAAAGGAAGACTCGGTCCTTCCTGGGGGCACAGGGGTTAGTCTCTGCACTATGAAGCTGTCTGAGGCCACCGTGGCCTGCGTGCAATCCCCCACCAGGAAGCATCACTCCATCAAAAAAGACAAATGGTTAGAAAAGATGAATCCAGTAAGGTGACAGAACACAAATTCAGTATATACACAAAATTCAGTTGCGTGCCTACACCCTCATTATGACCCATCAGAAAGCATCAATTGGAAAGTTTTACAATTGCATCAAAAAGAATGAAATACCTGGGGAAATATTTAATGAAGAAGAAAAACCTGTACACTGAAAAACTAGAAAATGCCAGTAAAATAAATTAAAAGCAGAAATAAATGGAAAGATATTCTGTGCTTGGCGATGGGAATAGTTAATGGTATTGCAATGTGCAGACTTCCCAAAGCAAACCACAGGTTCAGCGCAGTCCTGATCACAATCCCCACAGCAGCTTCCACAGAAACTAACCCTCCTGAAGTGCGGGGGGCGAGGGCACAGGGGACCAGAAGCACCGACTCTCCAAAGGTGAAGCTGGAGGCGTCTTGCTCCCTGACTCAAACTGTGAACTAAACACAAAGTCTCAACTGGAGGTAATTTCGTAGATAATGAAAGTGAGAACTTGAGCCCAGGGAGCGGTCAGGGTTATTCTGGGCAAACGATGCCAAATCAACAAATCTGAATTCAGCGTCTCCGGAGAGAGAGTCGCTGACATTAAGGATGTGCTTGTCCTGGGGCAGGGGCTTCCATTCCAACCGGCCCAACCTAAGCAGACGCTGATGCAGGAGGATTTCATCTTCTTTCTGAAGGACGCCTGGAGAGATGCAAAGGCTGAGCCCCCCTCCTCACATCCTCTCTACCCGCCTCCAGAGCCACAGAGCAGGGAGAAGACGGGGGGGGGGGGGGGGGGGGGGGGGGGGGAGCTGCTCAGACCTGGCCTCTGGGCTGGCTTTGCCTCCTGCCGGCTAAATCCAGGCGGAAGGGGGGCGTCAGCCCCAGAAAACACTACATGCTCCCCAAACTCCATGATAAACCCGCTGTGATAGACACACCCAGGCCAGCGGCACAGAAGAGCCCGGGAGCCCCAGGTGCCATCGATGCAGCAGAGGCGCCCGGAGCAGGGGCGCAGGACACCGCTCTTCAGGCCCTGGGAGCGGACACGGAGGGTCACGCTCAGGAACGAGCCCGGACCCCTCTATTCCTCCACGCCCAGTACGAACCCCAAATACCCCCCAGTTCTCCACATCCAGCCCTCCCGCCCTGGGACCTCCCACTGCCCTCCGCGTTCAGCCGCCCTCAGGGAGATGTCCTCACCTTCCTCTCGCCTTCAGCTCACCAACTCCTCTGCCAGCCCGAGGGGACCCCAGATAAATGCACAGATGACTCCCAGATGCGTCTAGAAGAGACCAGGTCCCAGCAGCCCCAACCCCACCCAAGGTCGGGGAAGCCGGTGGGAACTAAGCAGCCGTCTGCACTGCGCGCATGCGTGGTCAGGGGGCGGCGCAGGTGCGGCAGGTGGGGCAGGCAGGTGGGGCGGCCACGCCCACTGCGCAGGCCAGCTGCAGCCGGACAAGTTGGAAAATCAGACTCAAACAGAGGCAAATAGCCCTGTCTTCTCCAAAAATACCCCAACGAAAACTCCAGGAAGCCACTAAAACAGCAAAACAGGTGTGCATGGATTTAAAAACTTGTTCAGGGCCTCCCTGGTGGCGCAAGGTTAAGACGCAAGCTATGAAGCTATCCGTAGCCTCTGCAGCTCGAGTTCGATGCCCGGCGGCCAGGGAGTGGCCCACATGGTGCAGCAGACCTCTCCTGTCTCCCTGCTGCTCCTCTCAGCAGTGTGTTTCAGTCAATCTGCCTATTCTGTTCCCCGCTCTGTCTCTGGTGAATCCTCTCACCGCCCCCAGAACTCTGACCTGTACCCCAGTTCTTGAAATAAATAAATCTTAAAAAAAAAAAAAAAACTTGCTCAGGATGATTTAGCAGTGATCACAGATGCCTCACCAAACCCGCCCCTCCTCCTGGGAGACAGAATAGGGTGGTCTCCTCAGCCCCTTCCAACAGTGCTACTATCAGTCTTGGGTGGAGCCAAAGCTCTTTGATCCTATTTCTGTCATCATAATTAACACGATTACTTTTCTGTTTAATGTAATAGAACTTTCCACTTGATTTTAGAGCCCAGGTGTACAGGGAAGTGCTTTTGTGGCTACACGTCACAGAAATACCTGACTTCAACCATTAGGAAAATTCTAGTTTACTTAGGAATTCTCGAGAAGGCTGGGACTGTTCCAATCCCAGGTTCTTTTTGGCCCTCTACTCTGCTATCACTGGCTCTCTGCCAAGGGAGCATCCTGGGAATGTGGAAGGACAGCTGCCCTAGTGGCAGGCATCATGGGACAGCCCAATAGTCACAACCAAAAAAAGGAAGAGAGAAGTTGGGCCTCCCTGGT